TAATTAAATTAAACTTATTTAATTTAAATTTATAACCAACCCCCATTATAAAATTGGGGGGGGGGGGTTTATTTTTTTTAAAAAATTTGGCTTAAATTTTATTTTGGGGAAAACAAATATTTCCAAAAAAAAATTATTATTATTATTATTATTTCTATTTTATATATATGGATAAAGTATAATTTAGTTTTAACTAAATTATGATTTTCTATTTTAATTATAACAATATAATGAAAATAAAAAATAGAAATTTTTTTTTTTTTTTTTTTTGATTTATTAATTATCTTTGGCTTTGTATTTATTATATAACAAGGGTATAAATTGAAAAGAAAATTATTACTATCTCCTTTGAATATGTTAAAGGCAAAACAAATAACATTAGAAAATGATGTATATGTAATAATTTAAAAAAAAAAGTGATGGAGATAATATGTAAAAAAAAAAAAAAAAAAAAAAAATTATTTTCTGAGGGGTAGATCGATGAATAAATTTAATGCTGATATAATACATATATAGTTTTATAAAAAAAAATAAAAATAAAAAAAAATGAGATATTTGTGTATTAACTTTTTCTTTATATTTTTAAAAACGCATCATTTTTATACATACATGCCTTAATAGTATTTAAAAAAAAAAACATTAACCAAAAACATATATATATTTGATGAAGTGAAATGAAATTAATTTATATTAAAAAAATGTTATGGTATAATTATTACATTTAAAAAAATAAAAAAATAAATTAAATATTATTAATTGAAATTACTTTATACATTTTTTTTATTAATAATAAAAAATAATATGCATATCATTAGTGGGTGGGAGTGTTAAAAGTGTGTGTGGGTGAAATATTATCATTTATTATTATTATTATTATTATTTTTATTTATACTATTACTCCATTTATTCTAACCACCCCCACTAAGGAAAAATTATTTAACTTGTAACTAAACTGCAAATTATGATCTGAGTACTGATAATAGCTCGAACCATGCACACACTGCAATTTAAAAAAAAAAATAAAAAAAAATTAATAATAAAAAATAAAAATAAAAAAATAAAATTTTTTATAAATTCAAAAAATTAAAAAAAAAAAGAAATAATGAATCATTTTTATTTCGTTCCTAAATTAATTAATAAACAAAAATAAGTAGTTGTTTTATTATTTATATTATAATAAAAAACTAATAAATAAATATATTTATTTAATTTATTTGTAAAGCAAATCATATGGACAAAGGGTTAATATAAATTGAAAATGATAATTTTTTAATAATTTAAGCACTTTTTTATTCTCATAATCGATGGAAATCTCTTGTTAAAGCTTAATGACAATTCAACTACTCTAAACCTGTATCTTTGGTATCAACTTCAAAACCTATACCCAAGTTGAAACCACGATTATTTACCCAGCTTCAAACCAAGAAACTTTATAAATATAAAAAACTCAAATAAAAAACAATTTATCGCATTACTATTATTATTATAGTATATCCTAAACCATCCGCCATAACCACTGTCAACAATACAATCGGTCTGCTATTATAAATGAAATAAGTGATGGTCTAAAAAAAATTAAATAAAACTATTAAAAAAATTTCAACCAAAACAATCAATTTTTTCTTTTTGTAGATCAAAAAAAAAAAAAAATGCATATTGAAATGATTGGTTTGAGGAATCTTAACACAAATTTCATTTTGTTTTTATAAATAATATATTACCCACCCAAAACAAAACAATTAAAAAAAAAACGACATAAATAAAAATAAATAAAACAGTTTATGTTATACATATCCAAAAACATCAACGTCTTTTGTTTTGTCATTAGAAATAAATAAATAAATTAAAAATAAATAAATAAATCAAATTAAAAAAATACTAAAAATATAAAAAAATAAAAATATAAATAAATAAATAAATAAAAATAAATAAAGAAATACACATTTTTCAATAAATTTTGTTAAAATCTAAACCTAAATACAAGTATATATATCTTCCCGGCGATAAATTTGTTTATTTTAATGGAATGAATCTACTTGAGTGAGTAGCACCAATACCTGGTCTACCGTGGTTGACTGATTTGTATGAAAGAGAGAACTCACCGGTGTAGTGACCGATCATTTCTGGCTTAACTTCAACTTGGTTGAAAACTTTACCGTTGTAGACACCAATAACTGAACCAATCATTTCTGGGACGATTAAAATGTTACGAGCGTGAGTTTTGACAACAGCTGGTTTTTCACCGACTTGGGTGACGGCAGCTTTGGCGGCTCTGCATTTCTTTAAGAAGTTAACGTGTTTGATTGGGGTTTCACGCTTTAACTTTCTACGGGCTCTACATCTGAATAATTCAGCTAATTTGTCTTCCTTTAAGTCAAGGAGGCTTTCTAAAGCAACCTTTATTTTAAATAAATTTTATGTTAATTTGTGTGTTTCGTTTTTTATTATTTTATTTAAGCTAAATAATCCACATCCACTAATAATCCAATAATATAACTAAACCTAAAAACATACACCGTTGTAACTGAATTTCTTGAAGGTTCTCTTCTTGATTTGTCTATAATAATAAAAAAGATAGATATTAGTCACAATCCATTATATGATAATAGATAATGAGGATTAAGAGAGATAATGATCATAACATGGTGGATAACCAAAGATTATGATGGATTATATACAGATAATCTCAATATCATATAAAAAAAGATATAGATAATTTCACATACTCTGACATTTTAACAATAGAAAATATGAAAAAGGAAGAAAAAAGAATCAATGTAAAAAATTTAGTTGATATGCTTCCGCGCAGTCTCAAAAAATTTTATTTTTTTTTAAAAAATTTTTTTTAATTTTTTTTTTTTTTAAAAAACGTTGGCTCATTAATTTTATACGTAAAATTTAAAAACACGAATGATTTTGTTTTTTGATTATCATTATTTTTTTTTATAAATTAAATTAATAAAATTTTGGGAAAATAATTATTAAGTTAAATTTAACTAAAAAAAAAAAAAAAATTAATTAAAATAAATAAATATTACCACCCACATTTTTAAAAATAATAAAAAAAATAAAAATATTTTTATTATTATATTATTATTATTTTATCACAATTATTTTAGATTTTTAAAATTTTAACTATTATTTTATTTGTTTAATTTATATTTATTTTTTTTATATTTAATCAAAAACATAATATAATTATTGTTTAACTTTTTATATTATATTTAAATATAAAAAAAATAAAATATTTTTTAATTTAAATTCGAAAAAAAAAAAACAAAATTTTTTTTTTTTAATAAATTCGGTTTTGGATAAAAAAATTATTTCAAAAAAAAGTAATAATTATTACTATTATTTTTATTGATTATGATATCTTTTACATTTTTATTTTTTTTTTTATTTTTTTTTTTTTTTATAAAACAAATTGGGTAATTTTTCTGGATAGTCTTAATAGGTTACAGCAAGAATTGATAAATTTGGTTTATCATTTCCACATAAAATGAAACCAAATGTGAATGAACTTTATATAAAAAAAGAAAAAAAGATGAATTAATATTTTGGTGTTTTATATATATATATATATATATATTTTTTTTTTTTTTCGTTTTTTTAATACATACGCATTTTTATTAATTGATGGTTGATAGTGTGGTAATGTTAATTCATTACCATTACCGCAACGTTCAGCATTCCACAAGTTATCAGCATGAAGTTTGAAAGATTCATCAATACCAATAAAGATTTGGGTAATGTCAAAGTCCAAGTAATTGGTGATGGTTACGTCATATTGATTATAAGTTTTGCCTTCAAATTGCCAAGTACCGATACATTTAGTGGTAAGAATGACTTCTTTACATTTTGGAATTTCAATACAGCTACAGACACCTCTTAATTTGAGACAGATACGACCTGGACCACATGGAACATTATTACAGCCATAATGATTAGCAGCAGCACAATAAAAGAATAAAATTAAAAAGATTAATGTTAAAAATTTCATTTTTTTTTTTTTTTTTTAAAAGAGTAGTTAGTAAACTTTTTTTATTTTTTTTTATTATATTATAAAAATATAATTGTTGAATTGATTAAAATTAAAAATTTTCAATCCTTTTTATACCTTTTTTTTTAAATATAAATTTGAAAAATAAAATAATTAAAATCATAAATATTAAATTACAAATTGGTTATATTTGGAATTCTAATAATATTAAAATTGTTTTTCTTTTTTGGATATTGTCATTGATTGTATTGATAGTATATTATTAAATCTTTAATCTATTTAAAAAAATTACGTTTGTTCATAATTATATTGTTTAGTAGTTATAATTGTTTATCTGAAATTGGGGGAAATTAAAAAAAACAAAAAAAAAAAACAAAAAAAATAAATAAATTGGGGGTAAAAAAATGATAGTTTTGAAAGTTGAGTGATGTTAAACATGGTTGTTTTTATTATTATAATAAAATTAACAGTCCAAAGTATATCAGTAATAAAAAGGAAATATGTAATTATGACAATTATTTTTATTATTTTTTTTTTATTTATTTTTTTATTATTTTTTTTATTATTTTTTTGCTAAATAAAGAAAATTAAAATTATTGTTATTTTTAATATTATGATTTAAATATAAATAGATATATAAATTTTTATTATAGTTTTTTTTTTATTTTATTTATTTATTTATTTATTATTTTTATTTTTTTAATTTTTCATTTATTTATTTATTTATTTATTTATTCGATTTAGTTGGTTTTAATAATGATTGTGAAGGTGGTTCAATTTTATTTTGTTGTGGTTGTGGTTGAGGTTTATTTGTTATAGTTGGTTTTAATTGTTTTTTTAAACCTTCAGCATTCATTTGTTGTAAAACTGATTGGGTAATTGATTTTCTTCTTTCTTTAAATAATTGACCTGATCTAATTTGTGATGATAAATCTTCAAGACCACCTTTTTCTGGATCTTCCATTTTAAGAGATTCTAATTCGGCTTTTCTAAGCATTGCTTGATATTCACGATGTGCCTTTTCTAAATCTTCAAGGAAATCACTGATGATGGTAAAGAATTGATCTGGTGGTGTAGCTTTTGGTTCACCGAAATAAGTTACAACTTCTTCATAGGCTTTGTTCATTTCATCGATATCTTTTTCAATTTTTTGATATTGAGGTTTAACAGATTTTTGGAACTCTACAATTTTATTGAGGAAAGCTTTATCGTTGGCGAAAAGTGGGTCATTTACAAATGGAACATATTCTCTTTCGATGAGGTCTAGTGATCTCTTAATTTCACTACTATCGGTTACAATATTGTTGAGACTACTTTCAGAGGCATGTTCTAAATGTACCAATTCACTGAGTGCACTCCAAAGTTCTGGTGAACGATCTTGAATGGTTTTTGAGAGGAAATGAAGTAATGAAAGTTTATTATCATTGCTTTTGGCATCTCTCATTTTAGTGAGAGTTTCAATTTTGAAACCAAATGCACCACCACGAGTAGTGCTACCATTGACATAGTTACCAATAGCCAAAATAAATTTGAGAATTTCGTGGAATTTTTTACTGTTTTTCAATTCCAAAGAGGCATTCTTGATGGCTTTAATATCTGGTACCAAATCTTCGACCAATGATTGATACTTTAAACGGAAAATGTGTGAACGAAGACGAATCTCTAATTTTGGTATATCCATAACAGTTAACATGTATTGTTCGGCTGGACCTAATGATGATGGGTCACCACCATACTCTTTAATGGCTTCAATATCTTCTTTGGATGGTACAAATTGAAGGAGATAGTTTGCACTTTCGAGTGGGAGTACTTTTTCATCCATATTGATTTGCATTTTCTTTAATTCAGTATTTGATAGTTTGAAATGTTGTAACATAATTGCACAATTATTTGCTTTCTTTCCATCGATAACAGTGATAACCACTTTTTTGGTGAGTACTTTGGTTTCAGTTTTGACTGGAGCTTTTGCACTAAATAAACTCTCTAATTCATTTTTATCTAATGCTTGTATAAATGCAGTTTCATCCAATTTATCCCAAAATGTACCTTGAACTTTAACACCGGGAATGGTAACCCAATTGAAGTTTCTCATTTTTACTGATGGTTTAATAATTGGTTTGGCTGGTTTATTTGATTTCATACCTGGTGGTGGGGGTGGTGGAGGAGCACCTGGTACACCTGGAGGTGGTGGGGGTGGAGGAGCACCTGGTACACCTGGAGGTGGTGGAGGTGGTGGAATACCAAAGTCAGGAACATTGATTGAAATACCACTATTATCTGTATTCATTGATGAAAGTTCACCAACAACTGGTGGTTCACCAGATGGACTTGGTGAAAGATTTGAAGATGGAGATAAACCACTGTTTGGTGATGATAAATAAAATTCTCCATTTGAATTTGGACTACCTAAAAATAATGATGGATTATTTTTTAATGTTTCAATTTCGATTCTTAATAATTGAATTTCTTTTCTTAATGTTTCCTCAATTTCACTATTACCTGTACCATTACCTGTACCTGTGCCTGTACCTGTACCACCACCAATACCACTTTTTATTTGTGCCATTAATTGAGCAATTAATTTATTTTTTTCTTCTCTTTCTGCTATCCATTTTTCAATATTTTGACCACCCTATAATTAAAAAATAATTTTTTTATTAGTATATCAATAAAAAACAATTTTTTTTTTTTTAAAATACATACAGTAAAAGAATTTAATTGTTTTAATAAATGTTCAATTGTTTTTTGTTTTTCTTCAATTTCTTTTTTTAAATTTACATTTTTTGAATGAGATGATAAATGTGGAGATGATGAGGGTGATTTAGATTTGGCAAAACCAAAGAGACCACCAGATTTTTTAACTTCAGGAAATGCTAATGATAAACTATTAATATCTAATTCTGGATGGGCTCGTAATTCCTCTTCTAATTGTGAAGCTAAATTATTATATAAATTCCAAACACGAAGACCTAAGCTTGAGGATGACATACGTTGGAAATGACCCATAAGATTTATTAATTCTTGTTGTGATGGTGTACCAGTTACTCTTGATGAAATTTGTGAAAATATATCTTCCATACTTAATTGATTACCTTGTGTTGAATTTAATTGTTCATCAGTTGATAATTCTTCTTCAAAAACATCCAATTGTGTTAATAAATTTTTTTCATCATTATATTCTGTTCTTAAATTCTATATAGATTTAAAAAAATAAATAAAATTAATATTAATCTATACATAAAATGATTATTTTATTATTATTATACTTACTTCAATATATTTTAAAATTTTTAAATTTAAAAATGCTTTTCTAATTTCTATACGTGAGGTTAAATCACTTGGTGATGAGATGATACAATTGATAAATGACATACAGGTAATTAAATATTCTAAATTATTTTCAGATTTTAAAGTTTGAACTAAATCGTGATATCTTCTTTCTTCTTTTTTAACTTCTTTATAATAAATCATACTTGTTAATACTGCACCATGACCTCTATTAGTGACTGCAATGGCAGCTAATAATTCTAAAATTAAAGTTCTGGCTTTAATTAATGGTGTATCTAAACCTAAAACCATAAGATTGGTAGCTTGTGGAAATGATGCAACATATTCCATACCAATTTTAATTTTCATTAATGCTGCAATACATCTTAAACATTCCCATTGTAAAATTGATAATTCTTTTCTCTTTTTACTATTTAAAAAAAATAAAAAATAAAAAAATTAATATAAATCATAATAAATTATATTTATATATTAATGTAAATTACCAACCTTTTACCTCTTTCAATTTTTTTTAAAATATTTAATATTGGTTGTACACCATCTAAATCTAAAAAACTTTGAATCCAGTCACGATCTGCAGTATTTAAATGAATACGTAAGGTTTTAATTACTTCAATTGAAATTGATTTTGTGTTGATTGAGCCAATAACTGCTTTGACATCAGAGAAGGATTCGATTGGACCTTTGTGTCTGATGGTTCTATAGATATCGGCTTTATGTTGTTCTATTAATGTCTTTTTGGATGAATCTGGTAACATTGACATTTGTCTTCTTTTTTCTGGATCTTCTATTGCTAATTTGTCTAATAACATTTCAAATTCTTTATCTAAATCCATTAAAATATCACCACTTGATGATCCTAATCCACTAGCATCTGATGACATCATCATATTGGCACTTAACCTAATGGAAGCATTTCTGCCAATTGTGCCACTTTCGCTAGTATTACTTTCTAAATCAAATGATGACATTTCTTTATTTTTTTTTTTTTCACTTTTATTATAAAATAATTATATTATTATTTTGAAAATAAATATATAGATTTTATTTTTAATTTAAAGTGTCAAATTTTATAAATATTGATATTTTTTAAAAAAAACTATTTTTATTATTAGGTACCCTTGTATTATCTATTATTATTAAATATTATTTTACTGTTAAATTTAAAAAATTATTATAAAATTTTAAAAAAAAAAAAAAAAAAAAAAAATTAAAAATTTAATTTAAAAAAAAATTAAAAAAAAATAAAATAAAAAAACTTAAAAAAAAAAAATAAAAAATATCTTTTTTTTTTTTATTTTTTTTCTTTGTGCAAAACCATATTTATCATAACCAAAACTATAAAAGTGTTTATCTCGATTAAAAAAAAAAAAAAAAGTGATTGTTTGAAAGGGGTGTAGTTATAATTTTATATGAAATATTTAATCAAACAATATTGAATTATTTAAATAAAATTACAAATTATTATTTCTTAAAATATAATTTATTTTTTATTTATTTTTTATTTTTTTTATAAAATAAATATATGTACATTAACGGTAATATGATCTTGGGTTTATATTTGGGGTATTGTATTGATTGTTTATGGGGGATGAGGATTTTTATCTAGATGGGTTTCTGCGCTATTAAAATTGTTTATTTGAGGTGGTACTATGCCATTTTGGGAAGCTGATAGGGATGACTTTATTTGAGTTTTATAGGATTTAAAATAATTTTGAAGTTCATTAGCATTTATTTGTATATCAAAACCTTGATTTTGTTCTGATTTTGGTTTTTTATGAACTTCTCCTTCATTTTCATTATTAATTAATAATATACTTCTACTATTTTTTTTAATTAAATTTATTTTATTAGGTTGTGGTGGGTGGTTATCAATTAACATAAGATGTTGCAGGTGTATTGGAGATATGTTTTTGTTTTCTATTATTTTGTTATTTATTATTTTATTGTTATTTAAATTTGAATAGAATGGTAATGTTATATTTTTAAAAGATTCAATTGATAATGTCGATTCTTTATAGTTTTTATTTATTTTAGTCCTATAGAATTCATAATAGGATCTAAACGTGAGGTACTCCATATAGTTGGAATTTACATCGAGATGGGATAAACTGGTATATAAGAAACTGTTTTTAGGAAAAAGGTTTATAATATTATCAAATTTCTTTTTTATTGTATCATTTGGATTGAATTCGAGGGAATCTATTTTTTTGAAATGATTTTCAAATAACCTTTTGACTTGATAGTTAAAATGTTCAATAATATCTTGTTGAATTATTTTAATTTTTTTATTATTTTCATATGGTTTTACGTCTATTTCACCAATTGATTCTATAGATTGGTTAAAATTTGGTTTTTTTGAATTTTTTAAAAATATCGCAAATTTTAAAAACAATAATTCGTGCTCTTCTTTTCTACTTTTGTCAAAGTGGTCCCACTGTTTTAAATTTTCTTTTGCAAAACTTTCATTGGGTGTAATGGCAGGTTCCGAAGTAGTCCATTTAACCAAACAAAATAGTCCTGGATTGTTTTTTAATAATGAGTCTCTATAATATAGAAAATTTTTATATTTTTCTTTTAAATAATCTCTATTTTTTTTCCCATCTTTATTAGTTGTATCTTTTTTTGTTACTATAGTACTTTTAACTATTTTGGTATTTGTGTTTGTGTTATTATTTTTATTTACAATGTTGTTATTTGAAACAGTGATGTCTGTGGTATTTTGAAAATATTGAAAAGTTTTTTTAATAATTTCTAATATTGATGTTTTTTGGTTTTTATCAAATGCCTCTAAATCATTTGAGATGTCTTGAAATAGTTTTTCCATTTTTATATGTAATATTGATATTTAATATTATTATTTTTTCAAATAATTTTAAATATAAATATATGTATGTATGTTTGATTGTTTTACTTGATGTGAGAATTGATGTGCTACAAAAAAGTATGGGTTTGTTTTTTTTTATTTATTTTTAATTTTTTTATTTTAAATAATTTTTTTAAATTAAATTAATTTTTTTAAAATTAATATAAAAATAAAATTTTATTTTTTAAAAAATTAATTTAATTTAAAAGTTTTTTTAGTTTTTATTTTTTTTAATAAAATCACAAATTACATATTAAAGGGGTGATGATGTGGATGATTTTAATTATTTTTAGCATACCACATAAAAAAAACATTAGACTGTCATATAAAAACAATCCCCAATAAAAAGTTAATTGGATACAAATGGTAAGTTCGGTTGTTATTTTTTTTTCGTCTCTGGATATAATTGGACATGAGGGGTTTATTTAATGGAAAGTATTTTTTTTAAATTTTTTATGTGGAATACCATTTTTTAATTTCGATTATAGCTCTGTCATAAAATAATGATCACAATAAGCCCTAATGTGCCAAATTATGCACAGATCATATCTGGATAAAAAAAGTTTTTTTTTTTTAATTATATTTTTTTTTAGGTATTATTTTCAATTTTAATAATAAAGGGTTAGGAAATATAGGGAATTAAAGCTAAGGAAAAAAAAAAAAAAAAAAAAAAAATTTCAAGAAAGTTATATTTGTTAGCTGAAAGAAATTAAAACAAATCTTTCTACTTTTTTTCATAATTAATTAAAAAAACTTTCTCTGTATGTTAATATATATAGTTTTTAAATTCAAAAAATAAAAAATAAAAAATAAAAAATAAAAAATAAAAAATAAAAAATAAAAAGTAAAAGATAATTTTTATAATCTTAAAAAAAAAAACAAATAATAATAATTTTATTGTAATACACATTTATTTAAATTATTGTTTTTGAGTAATATCACAAGTTTTATGAATAAAATATTTGTTTTGTAATGGTACAGTTTTTGTTTTATGAGGGTATCCATCCAGGTAAAAATGGAGTTATAATTATCATTTTAGGTGATGAATTTGTAGAGGATGATGGCGAGGACATATGAGATGATATGTATTTGAAATCATTTAGAGAGGGGGCCGAGAAGGAATCTTGTGAAGATGATAAGGATTCTTTTGAGTAGGAATTTGTAGAAACTATTGGAGAGGATGTTTGAGGTGATGAGTATCCAATGGCTATTGGAGAGGACATTGTTGAGGTATTTGGAGAGGATGAAGGAGAGGAATAGCTGATTGATAAGTTTGGTGATTGAATAGGTGAGGTATCTGGATATTTAGTTTTTTTTTTTGGTTGGTTATTTTTTAAATCTATGTAATGTTTATTATTATTATTAGTATTGCTCTCAATACTATTGTTTATATCATTATCTATACTAATGTCTATTTTATTATAGAAAGGTAAAATAATATATATATAATTATCAATTGAGTATTGACCTTGTTTATATTCTTTACTAATTTTAAATCTAAAATAATCATAATGTAGTCTAAAAGTAAGATATCTTAAATCGATTTGTTCTGGATCTTGATTTCTATTTTCATAAATTTGTTTTAAACTACTATACATAAAGCTATTATTTGGAAATATTGTCAATATTTTTTTAAATTGTTGTTTTAGATTATCATTTGGGTTAAAATTAAGTTGTTTGGTTTTTTTATAAAAATGATTTTCAAATAGCTTTTTAACTTGATAGTTGAAATGTTCTATAATGTGAAATTGAATTTTATGAATTTCTTGATCATTTTCATATGGTTCCACATTGATATCTTCGATTGTTTCTAGTGAATAGTTTGGATTTTGTTCTTTTAATAATATTGCAAATTTAAAAACCAATATTCTATATTGAACCTGTCTATTTAAATCAAATATTTCCCAATCATTTAAATTATCTTTTCCAAAACTTTCATTTGGTATCTTTTTTATTTCGGTGGTCCATCTGATCAAGCTATATAGTCCTGGGTATTTAATTAAAAATAAATTCCTAATGTCCAAAAAATTTTTAAAACTATCAAATAAAAAATTTTTATTTTTAACATAATCGAATTTACATTTCATTAAAGTATTTATATTTAAATTATGATTATTTTTGTTATTGTTTTTATTTTTACCTAGAGTAATATTGTAACAATCATCATTTCTACTATTACTACAACTATTATTATTATTATTTATAATCAAGATTTTATTATTATTATTTTGAAGTTTATCAATTGTTTTTTTTATAATTTCTAAAATTTCATTTTTTTGAGTATCATCAAACGATTTTAAATTATTGGATTCTATATCTTTAAGAAATATATCCATATTGTATTATTGAAATTATTTTATTTTTTTTTTTTGTTTTTATTTTTTTATTTGTTAAAAATATTTTTAATAACAAAATAAAAAAAAAAAAAACTACAACTTTATAGTGGAATTTTTTGAAACAAAATTAAAAAGAAAGATCTATTTTTAGTTTATTAAATTGAGTGGATAATCAAAAAAAAAACAAATTTACACAATTTTTGGGAAGATAAGGGGGATAAATTTAAATTATAATAATAAAAATATAAAAAAAAATTAAATTTTTTTAAATTTTTTTTTTTTAAAAATTAAATTTTTTTTCAATTAGAAAGATTCAAGAAATAAATTGTCAATATAAATAACATAATTCAAAAACAATGATGATTCCATTTCAATCTAATGAAAACTATGAGTAAAATTAAAAAATTCAATCAAATACCATTTTATAAAATTAGCAACAATATAAATGAAAATTTTAAAAAACCACTTTTTTCATCAGTTTCAGCAATATCATCATTAAATAATAATAGAGCTCTATCAATCAATTGCAGAAAGTTTACAGTTGGAAAAAATATCACACCAATTTCCACAGTAAAAACTTCATCTAATATAATAGACGAAATCAAAAAAAATGATGTTTCAAATTCAATAAATAGTGAAGATAAAAGTTTGGGGTTTGAAAGAAACATACCATTTAAATGGTTATTAAAAAAAATTTACATCGCATCCACATTAGGTTTTTCAGGTTCCGTTATTGTGGGTCATTCATCATTAGAACTCTTTTTAATAGATGATACATTACCATTTTTATTTGGTTTGGTGGGTGTATTTCTTTCAGTCCAAAATTTCAATAAACAGAAAGTAAAATACGAAACAGTAGATACAATTGTAGATAAAAGTAATAGTAATAGTAATGATAATAGTAGTAGTAGTGTCCAAAGATCTTTTATTAAAATGATAGTTCCTCGTTATACTTTTGAAAATATAGCACCTTTCATTGGTCTTTGTGTATGTAGTGGAGTTGTTATCTCACCACTACTTATACTTTATTCAACAACAACTATAGTCAAGGCACTTGCTCTAGGTGGTGTCGTTAGCGGTACTGCTATATACTCTTTATCAAAAATGAAACAAGATGTTACTATACAGCCCTACAGACCAGCTATATATGGGTCTTTGATGGGATTTGCAGGTGTGGGTGTTCTTTCGTTAATATCTTACCTTTTACATGGACCAGAGTCATTCTATCAAACTATAAAAACCGTTAATCTATATGCTAGTGTTGCAATTTCTACAGGGCTTATTGTCTATGGAACTAAAGATGCCATCAAATTATCTAAACAAAATCTTAAACCCAACTTTCTTAAAGTATCATTGGATTTAATAGTATTATTTGTTATTTTTTATAATGCACTTTTCTATTTTCTATTTTTTTTAATATTTCCTTTATATTTATTATTTAAAATAGAGAATAATGATAATTTATAAATAATAACTGCAGTTATCAAATAATTTTAAATAAATATTTTGTATTTTATGTCTTTGATAAAGTAATAATGGGGTTTTTGTTTGTATTAAGGATCTCTATTCTCTTTATTTGGGACAGCTGGTTTTCCTGTGGTTACCAAACATGTGTTGAGAAATAACTAATATATTTATTATTATTATTTGCTTTTATTTTTTAGTGATTAAACAAGTAAAAGTGTGTATGTGTTAAATAAGAGGGGGGGGTGGTGAACACGTTTTTATTTTTTATTTTTAAATTTTTTAAATTTATTATGTTTTTAAAAATTCGAAAGCAGAAAAATCTCGGGGATAGTAAAAAAAATTTTGTAGTTTGCTAAAAAGTTCTTACAAACACACAACACAAAAATTACTCACACAAATCAGTAATTAAAACACCATCACTTAATTTTAATTTTTATTAAAAAACTAAGTTAGCCCTTAGGAATAGGATTAGGGAAAATCAACACTAATATTTAATAATAAAAATTTAAAAAAAAAAATAATAAAATAATATAAATATAAAAAAAAAATAAATACAATTTAAATATACACAAAAAAAAAAAAAATTATTATCAAAAACATAGTTTTTAATATTATTAAAAACAAATAACTACAAAAAATGTTTTCAGGTAAATATTTTATAATATTTTTTAAATTTTATTATTTTTAAAATATTAAAAAATTTTTTATTATTTTTTATTAATAAACAGGAATTAGAAGATTTTTTTCACAAGACAACAATAACTCAAATGTTAGCTATACTCCAATTAGTCGTAGAAGAAACAGAAATTTCCTTAGTTGCCAGTATAATTATGGACTTTGGTAAACGTTCTAACTGTGGTGGGAAGAAATTAAAACTAGTTTTCTACTTTCCATAAAATCAATTTAAAATAGTTTTCTCGAGTAAATAGTTCCTTTTTTTCAAAAATCTGTACAGTTTGTTAATACTTTTATATTGTAAATAATAAAAAATAAAAATAATTTTTAAAAATAAAATTTTAATTTAAAATAATTAAAACAACAAATTAAAACAAATTAAATTTATTTAAATTTATTGTATTTTAATATATATATTTATTTAAAAACTTATATTGAGTAATAAACAATTTTAATGTATAGATATTTTGTTTTTTTTTTTTTTATTAGGGTGTCCATCCAGGTGAGCAAGGAGGGGATAAAGATAATAGGTATGTGGAGGTATTTGGGGAGGTATTTGGTGAGGATGAAAAGGGGACGGGAGAATTATTTTGAAGTGAAGAGTAGCTAATAGGAGAGGGCATTGGGGAGGTAGTTGGGGAGGTATATGGTGAGGATGAAAAGGATTGGTTTTGTGATAAAGAATCCAGAAATCTTTTCATAAGTAGTTTTTTTTTTGGTTGATTATTTTTTAAATCAATATAGTGTTTATTATTATTATTGGTAATTTGGCAATCGATATTGTCTGTTTTGTAATAGGGTAAAATAATATTTTTATAATTATCGATTGAATAATTACCTTTTTTATTTTCTCTATTAATTTTAAATCTACAACCATCAAAAAGTAGTCTAAAAGTAAGATATCTTATATCGATTTTATTATTATTATTATTTTCGTATATATGGTTTAAACTACAGTATATAAAACTGTTTTTTGGGAATGCATCTAAAATGGTTTCAAATTGTTGTTTTGGATCACCAGATATATAAAGAGTATCGAATTTTTTATAAAAATGATTTTCTAATTGTTTTTTAACTTGATAGTTGAAATGCTCTATAATGTGAAATTGAATTTTATGAATCTCTATATCATTTAAATATGGTTCTACATTGATATCTTCGATTGATTCTATTGAGTATTTTGGATTTTGTTCTTTTAAATATATTGCAAATTTAAAAACCAAATCTTTATATTGAACCTGTCTATATAAATCAAAGTTTTGCCAATCATTTAAATTATCTTTTCCAAAACTTTCATTTGGTAACTTTTTTATTTCGGTGGTCCATCGAATCAAACTATATAGTCCTGGGTATTTAATTAAAAATAAATCTCTCATAAATATAAAATCTTTAAAGCTATGAGTTAAAAATTTTTTATTTTTTGCAAAATCGAATTTACAATTATTATTAATATTGTTATTTATACTATTACTAATACTAATATAGTTGATATTACTATTATTACTATTATTATTATTATTATTATTGTTTATAATATTGATACTGTCATTACTATTTTCATTATTATTTTGAACAAAAGTAATAGTTTTTTTTATAACTTCTAATAGTTCATTTTTCTGAGTATCGTTGAATGAATTTAAATTATTGGATCCAATTTCTTCAAAAAATGTATCCATATTGTATTATTGAATAAATTTAAATATTTGTTATAATTATTATTATTATTTGTTATTGGTAGTAATAATAAACAATTCAAAATAAAACAAACAATTTATTGGTTTTTAATTTTTCTAATCAAAAAATAATCAAAAAAAAAAATAATATAGGGAAAGAAAAAAAAATATTTTCTCATAATTTTAAAAATCAGATTGAATCTTTGTGGGGGTAAATTTGTTTTTATTTTTTTATTTTTTTTTTCTTTTTTTTTTTTTTGAGGAATTTTTTGCGTATTAAAACTTTATTTTTTAAAACAATCAAATGATGACGCCAATCATGCGATCCAAAATAAATCAATAAATAAAAAAATAAAAAATTTAAAAAACAAACCCACATCACAATTTCAATAACATCATTAATTTTAAAAACAATTTTAAAAACAAATGGATATTTCAAAAAAAATCTTCACATAAATAATATTAATAGTTATAATAAAACCAGCACAATAACTTCCAAATAGAAATGATTTTACCCACTTAAAACGTTATTAAAAAAAAAAAATATATCAACAGCAGGTATTACAATAACTAACAATAATAACAAAATCCAAAGATCTTCAATAATTTAATATATAAACCTTTATATTTTTATTTTAAAAATAAAGAATAAAAATTATCTTTTACTTTATTTTTTTTATAAAAAGTTTCTTTTGTTTCCTTGGCAAAATATACTTTTATATTATATAGACATTTTGAAGTTGAGAAAGAGGAAGCTAATAGAGTTTTTGGTTGGATTATGGACTATGTGATTGCTAAAATTTCCATTTATTCAAAGTATTGAGTAGGTGTTGTGATGATAACATATATTTCTTCGAGTTGTTGCATGCCTGAAACCTAAATATATTCTGAATTTTAACTTCACCAGTGATTGACAATGTTTTCCATATTTGAACATGCACTTAATTTTACTAATAAAATTTTGATAAAAACCTGTTGTATTATTTTACATTAAAAATTAATTTCATATAAATATAATTATTTTATATGAATGAACTGTGGGTGTGTGTGTTTAAAAAAATAATGTTTGTAAATTTTTAAAAAAAAAATAAAAATTTATTTATTTTTATTTTTTTTTCATTTTTTTATTTTTTTTTATTTGAAATATTTGAAATTATTTATTTTTCTTTTCTTTTATTTATATTTATGTATTTAATAATCATAGCAATATAATATTTTTTTTTGTTTTGATAGTAATAATTAATAACATATAGAAAAAAAAAAAAAAAAAAAAAAAAAAAAAAAAAAAGCTGGATTTCTTCAAAACCCTCGTCTTCGTTTTTATATAATTTAATTAAATTAAAAAAACCTTATGTTCCAAAGATTAATAATGGTGGCTATAATAATATTAACAATAATTCTAATAAATTTAATTATAAATTTACATTACCAACAAATATTAACGGAATAAATAATAATTTTAATAACCAACAAAACTTTAATCAATACAATGATTCATTAAATAAAAATAATAAAAATAATTTAGTATATAATTATCAAAAATCAACTAAATCTTCTTCAAAAAGTTTTAATAGCCTATTAATAAAAAATAGACAATTTACAAGTAGTAATAAATTAAATAATAAATTTGATAAAATAATTAGAAATGAAGCTATTGGTATTATAGATAGAGAATACGAAAACTATTTAAAAGAAATGGAAAGAAATATTTCACTTAAAATTTTTTTAAAAAATACTTATCTTTCTACATCATTAGGTTTTGGCGGTAGTGTTATGTCTGGTTTAATATTCTCTCGTTTAATAGAAGACTCATCACAAGTAGGTATTGCTCCAGCTTTGGTAGGTTTAGTGGGTGCCCTAGGTTCAATTTGGCTATTCAATGGTCAAAAAGCAAAGTTTGAAACAATCGATGCCGTATTTGAATCAAAAAAAGAAAACATCTATGAAAAGTCCATTATCAAAATTACCGTTCCACAATACCCACCAATGATGATAGCTTCATTCATTGGCCTTTGTTTATCCAATGGACTAATAATGTCACCTGCTCTTGCCATCACACCTTCCGTTGCCATCGCCAAAGCACTACTTATGGGTGGCATCGTAACCGCTGGCTCGTCCTATTTTGCTTTAAGAATGAAACCCGATGCTATGCAGCCCTACCAACCAGTTTTATATGGATCGTTATTTGGTTTAATTGGTTTAGGACTCCTTTCCATTGGCTCTCATCTTATTTTTGGTCCAAATTTTTTCACTCAAACCGTATCATCCATTGACCTATATGGTGGTCTCGCTCTATTCACTGCTCTTAATGCACTAGACACTCAAACTGCAATTAAAGAATTTAAAGAAACCGGAAAACCAGATTTCCTCAGAGTTTCAATGACATTGGTAATGAATGCAATCAATATCTTCGTTAGATTACTTCGTATCCAAAGAGAAAATAACAATTAAATTATAATAACCAAAATTTAAAAAAAAAAAAAAAAAAAAAAAACAGAACTGTTATAATAAATCATTTTATTTTTTTATTTTTTTATTTTTTATTTTTTATTTTTTTATTTTTGTAGGGTTGTGTTTTTTTAATATTTATCAATTTGTTGTTACCATTATTATTTTTATTATTTTTGTATCATTAAACACACACACACACTATCACACAATCACAACATTTACTTTATTTTTTTTTTCTTTTTTTTTTCTTTTTTTTTTTGTTTTTTTAAATAACTTAATTCATTATTATCAAAATTGTATTATTATTGTTTTATTGTACATAAATTTCATTATATTTTTTTTATTAATTTTGTAAATATAAATTTTATTTGTAAATATTTAATTTTTTTTATATTTTTTTTATTGTAAATAAATAATTTTAAAAAATGAATCAACAAGAAGAAAAACAACAAGTTTTAAAAAATAATATCAAATGTTTAAAAAGTGAATTTGATCATTTAAATAAAGAAATTGACACATTAAAGGAAAACATTGATAAAGGAAGTGTATTATTAAGAAGAGAAATTGCTGAATTAAAATTAGAAATGGATAAATTAAGAAAGAGTAGTAATAAACAAATGAAATCCGTTGAAATTCTTGGCCAATCAATTCATTGCCTTCAAGATGAAGATGAAGCTCAACAAAGTCCATGGCAAGAAATTGTTTATTGCTAAAAGACTTTTTTTTGTAAAATAAACACCCAAATTAAAAAATAAAAATAAAAATAAAAATAAAAATTAATTTTTTTTAAAAAATTTTTTTTAATTTTTTTAATTTTAATTTTTTTTTTTTTTTATATTTTTTTATATTTTTTATTTAATTAACAAACAATATACCACACACACACACAAATATACAACATAAAAACAACTATAATTTATATTTATAATATATATATTTAAATTATAATATACATAAATTATTTTTATATATATTAAAAAATATTATTTTAAGTTTTTTTTTTTTTTAATTTTCATTTTTTTTATTTTTTATTTTTTATTTTTATTTTTTATTTTTTATTAAGTGTGTACATATATAGAATCATACTCTCCCTCAAATAATAACTTTAATAAAAATAAAAACAAAAATAAAAATAAAAAAAGTAACAAAATAATAAAAATAAAATAAATAATAATAATGAATCATTTATATAAAAAAATCTTTGGATTTGATATATTAAATCGATGTGGTATTAATGGAATTGATAGTAGTAATTCAGCCGATGTATTTAAGGCATTTATTAAATACCTTGATGAAAACTATCCAATTGGTGGAATGGAGGATATACCAAAAACAAGTTTATTTCCAGAGATGTCAAAACAAGGTATTTATACTTCATCTATGAAACCAATTGAAAATGGTAAATGGATGTACGAACTTACACCATCAAGAACATCAGTTAGATTTGGGTGGGCAATTTGCAGTACTCTTGATAACAGTTTAGGAACATTACTACCAAAAGATTATAAGGTTATAGATTCATCATCAAAGAAATTTTCAATTCCAAGACCTGATGGTATGATATTTGGTTGCTCAATCAATGTGGATGAAAATTCTGTAGTATTTTACTCTAATGGCCATGAAATTCATCGAAATGATCTCCATAAGAAAAATGCAGATGGCCATTATTCAAATAAACTTATTAATGATGGTGGAAAAACTACAACTGATGGTGGTAAAATATTTTATATACCGTATATTGCCATAGAAACCTCTTTAGCTCAACCAAATTTTGGTGGTCGTCCATTCTCTTTTAAAATCAATGATTTCAAACCAATCATCTCTGAAAATTTACAAAAATCAAAAAGAACATCATATTTAATTTCAGTTTTTTTTTCAGTTATACAATCAAAATTAGTATTAGTAAGTATATAGTTATAGTTATAATAATAATAGTATTAAAATTTTATTAATAAAATTTTTAATTTTCTCCCAGGAATCAACATATAATGAAATATTATTATGGTTAACACCAATAATATTTTCAAATTTAACATTATATACAATTCAATCCCTTTTAATGAAAACACTATACAGAAACATTGGTTTAGTTGATGATTTTATTGAGGCATTAAAATCAAATTTAGTTGTAAGCAATAATATTTTTTTATTTTTTTTTTATTAATATTGTTTATTAATTTTTATTTTTATTTTTATTTTTTTTTAATAGCCTGTTTTGTTTATTCAAATAATGAAACAAATATTTTCAATTCTTACTTTAGATTGTAGACCAATTCCAAATCATTCAACTAAACCTTTAAAAATATTTTTAAAATTATTACAAAATGAAATTACTCTTCAATTTTTTATTTCAGAAGAAAATAATATTTTAATTTTAAATTATGTTTTTGCAAGGGAAACTGTTGTTGCAACTGAAGATAATGTTTATTCAAGAGAAAATGTAAGATTTTAAAACATATTTTTTTATATAACTTTTTAAAATTTAATACTAATATTTATATTTAAATAGAGAAAACCAATTGAATTTGATAGAAATAGAGAAAGATACGAAATTCAAAAAAAAATATTTAATTATTGTTTAAAATCAAATTTATCAGATTTAGTAAAGATTTGGTTAGCAAAGATTATTAAAGTAGACCTTAGCCATGAAATAGAAAAAGCAAAAGGTAATTCTGTAGAAAGATTTACTTTTCCATTTCTCTTCAATTTATTCAATCTCTTATCAGAATATTTAGAACCATCATTAATAGACTCTAGACAGGTTGACCGTTTACCATTAGAATTACTTTATAGAGAAAAGTTTGACCAACCAAATAGACAAAGACTTGGTGGTGTTTTAAGTCATCTTTTAAAGAATAAAGAGGCCATTGAATCATTTGAAATCGAATCAATTAAACATAAAGAAGATGTAGATAATATTTTAGATCCAGATTTTATTGTTCTCTTTGAACATTTAATAAATATCTTTGATCTCAGTATTTGCAGACAAATTTCAAAATTAGATTCATTACCACTTCAACTAATCGAAACATTTTTAACTTATTTAGAACCTGTAAGTTATTTATTATAATATTAATAATTAATAGTTTATAAATTTAATATTAACAAATAATTTTTATTATTTTTTATTTTAGGATGTATATCAAGGTTTGTGTACCATTGAAAGATTAAAAATTCGATCCATCAAAAAAGAATTAAATGAAGAGTTAATATCAACAGATTATGTTTGGTTAGTTTTCTCATTTATGGTCAGATATATAAATAGAATTATATTAAATCCAAATTATGAATATATCTATTTCATTTACGATTATTATTTAAACAATTGTATAACAATTTTCAATTATTTTGCGGAAAACAACCTATCCTTATTATTATCAGCATCAAATCTTAAAACCACTGCCACCTTTTTAACAATTCTTTTCAAATTGAACAACCATGTAGTAGATAGAACTACCTCAAATCTTATTTCAACTACAATCATAGAATTACTCTACATTAAAAATATATTGGTTATGATGCACAATTTACCATCTTTCCCAACAATGATAAAGAATTTACTCCTCAAATTGGACGAACCAGATATTGTAATTTTCACTCTTCTTTTTGATTCATCTCTTCCACCATTCTTAAACGAAATTGAAAAAATATTTCAAGAAAATGGTATTTTCCTTTTAAAATTATTAAAATGTTTATACTCGCAAATACCACAATCTAAAAAGAATTCAATTGCTTCTTCTCAAATAAATGTAAGTTTTATAAAAAATAATTAATATAATAATTAAAAAAATAAAATATTAACATTTTTTTATTATTTTAAAATTATAGTTATTATCATATTTAAGTAAAAATATGTCACATTTAATTTTAGAAGATGAAACATTTTTATTTATTACAGGTCAGTTTTATTTATATATCTTTGAAAAGATTAATATGGGAAATGATATTGAAAAAGAGTTTTATACAAATATATTTTATCAATTATTACCATCAATTTATTTCTTTTCAATATATAAACCACAAAATTCAAATTTATCATTTTCAAAATCAATCGACTACAATAACAAAATTGATAATTTAATAAAGCTTTTAGAGAATATAGATGAAAATAATCAAAATTTTATTATTAATTTACAATTACAACAAAAACAAAAGCAACAACAACAGCAACAACAACAACAACAGCAGCAACAACAACAACAGCAACAACAAAGACATGGCCAATCAAATCCAGATCAAAATCAAGATCAACAACGTTATCCTCATCAAGACTCTGATGATCCAGGTTCATTCTCTTTTGACTATAGTGACGTATTTGGTTTAAATATTAGATTAGATAAATCTTATAAAAATATCAACTATAGAAATATAATTATTAGAATCGACCACGAAAAGAAACAAAAGTTAATAGAATTTTTCAAAGCATTACCAAATGAAAATAGTGATCAAAACAATGACAACTTGTGCTCCATCTGTTATGCATATGAAAAAGATACTGAATTCCTTCCATGTAAACATAGATCTTGCCATCATTGTATTACTCTTCACTTACTATCAAATGCTACCTGTTTCTTTTGTAGAGTTAAAATTGACCAATTTAATTTAATTGTAAATAACAACGACAATAACGATGAAGATGAAAATAATGAAGATAAAGAAGAAGGAGATAACAACAATAATAATAATAACAATAACGATGAAGATGAAAATAATGAAGAAAACAGTTACCAAAAGACAATTCATCAACAACTTTCAAAACAATTAAATATTAACAAAAACAATCCAATTAATTAATCAATTTTTTCCTCCTTTTTTTTTTTTTGTAAATTTAGAAAAAAATAAAATAAAGTAGTATAAATATATTATTTTTAAAAAAAACAATTTATTAATTTTTATTGAATTTAGAATGAACTTTTATTTATTTTAATATTTAAATTATTATTTATATTGTTTTTTTCTCTTTGTTCTTTTATATAGTTGATTAAAACTGTATTTATTTTTTTATTTGTATTGATTCTTATATTTTGTAAAGAGGATGTATTGTATTTAAAGAAATTTGATAAATGTACTAACAAACTTTCCAAAGAGTTTGAGTATGCTATTGGGTTTTTTACAAATATATCCCAACAGATTTTTAAGGTTGTAATATTTGGATTAACTTGACAGTGTTTTAAAAAGGCTTCGACTGAATCGAAATCACAATAGAGAGTTGCAATGTTGGGTATTTGAACCAATGGAAGCAGTTTTTCGCAATCATTTTTTTCTTTCAATGTAAACAACTCCAGGCCCAATGTGTTTAATGTCTTGTTACTAATTAAAGATGTTAAAAATTCTGTTGGTTCTGTGTTATTTGGTGATGAACAAATATACCTTTTCCCAATGTCTACATTTTCTTTTAAAATTAGTTTCTTTAAGGTTTTATTGGACGAAATATTGGACCTTCTAGATAATTCTGATACTATTTTGCTTGTATTTTTTTTAATGTCTTGAGGTAAATCATTAAATATAAAGTGATAACCTAATCTTAATGTTAATGATTTTATTGCTGGTGACTTTGATCCTATTGCAAGTTGAGCAAATTTATAAGGTGTATTATAATAAATGAATTTAATTATTTTTACATTTTTGCTACATTTTATTAATATATTATTGATTTTATATAAATGATTATCTACATTGATATTATTATTATTATTATTATGTGAATACCTATGTTGAAGACTGGTGCTATTTGATGATATATCAATTCTTTGATGGTCTGTATACCTTGATAAAAACTCAAATGAAAAGTTGTATCTAAAATAATTTTCAGAGTTATCTTCTACATTTGATAATGTTGATTCTTCTTTGTTTGAAAAGGGTGGTTTTTTGATATCCCAATATAAATATAACTTGTTAAATTTAAAAAAACCATTACAATCTGGGTTCTTTATTAATGTATCTACAGTAGTATGTTGAATAATAACACTTTTAAGTTGCTCTCCAAATACCTCTATTAATTTGTTTTTATTATATTGATAATCATCATCCTTTAAATATATTCTAATACATTCAGATTCTCTATATTGTAACAAGCTATTACCATAACCATTTTCATTACTTTTAGATTTATTTATTAAACAAATTAAAATTTTAAAATCGTATATTAGCAATTGTCTATGTGTTATTAAATTTTGAATTATTTGAAATGATTGCTTTGATATTAAACTGAGCTCCAATATATTATTAAAGTTACAATTATATGCTAAAAATAATAATATTTCGTTATATATTAATGGTGTTAAATTATTTTCTTTTTCGGTATTATGATGATTTTTTATGTGACCATTATTCATGTTATGTTGATTTTATAAATTATAAAACAAAAATAAAAATTAAAAAGATTTTTTTTAAAAAATAATATTTTTTTTTTGAAAAATTATTGAATAAAATTTATTAAATAAAGATAAAAGTAAAGAATAATTTTTAGTTCAAACCTTATAAAAAATTTTATTTATTAATTTAGTATTAATAACGATTAGAAAAAAATAAAGTTTAAAATAAAAAAAAAATATAATTGTAAAAACTATGGATAAAATATATTAGTGATGGCTATTTTAATGGTAGAATGAATATTGTTGTGGAGCAGCTTGTTGATAGTATGGAGAGGTTTGGGCTGGAACTGGGGTAGAGTTAAAGAATTGAAGTTTTGAGTCGATATGTTGAAGTTTTGTTAATAAGATTACTCTTTTCTTTTGTAATGATTGGTATTTATATTGATATTTTCTTTGTTTATAATCATCATTTGAGCCATTGGTGGCTGGAGCAGTGAAGTTATGACGACGACCATATTTAGCATTCTTTGCACATTTGTTTTCACATTTTTTTTCACATTTCTTTTCGACTTTTGATGTTTTTGTATCATATTTCATTGATTTCTTAATCTCTTTTAGTTTGGATCTTTCTTGTTTTATTGATTGTTTGAAATTCTTTAAATATGTTTTTCTTTCTTTCTTATCTTTTGGTAAATTATCATAAAATTCTTTGATAACATTTCTAGTGGTTTCATTGTTTGTTAAAACGAGGACAGTATTAGTAGTGGTATTTGATGAATCATCTGTGATTTTTGATTCGTTGTTAGAGCTACTGATTTTAATATCATCAACTTTAAGTGTTAATTGATTAATGTTATTTAATTCTTCAACTTGTTGTTCTTGTGATTGTTCGTTTATTTTGTCAAACATCTTGCTTTTTTTTTTTTCTATTTCTTTTTAAAATATAATTTAGAATTATTATTAACTAATTGTATATGTATTTTGTATAAAATTTTTGTAAATAAAAAATACAAAAATTTTTGGTTTATATTTTAAAGATTTTTTGATTTAAAAAAATAAAAAATTAATTTTTTATTAAACTTAAAAAATTAAAAAAATAATTTTTGAAAATTTGGAAATTAATTATTCAAAGAAAAAAGACAAAGTAAAGTTTCTTTTTTTTTTATCAAAAAAATATTATAACAGATATTTTAGATGGCTATAACTATTTATTAAAAGTATAAAAATAAAAATAAAAAAATAAAAATAAAAATAAAAATAAAAATAAAAATAAAAATAAAAATAAAAATAAAAATAAAAATAAAAAAAAAATAAAATTTTTTTTTTAATTTTTATCTTTTTTAAAAAGAAATATTAAATAAACTTGGTATTTAATTGTTTTTGAATAAATTTGTTCCAGATGATCCAAAAAACGATAAACAATAACGATTATTTTAAAATAAAACATTAATATGATATAAATATTTTTTTAAAATAAAAAATACATATCAACCCTAAATTTCATTCAAAAAAAAAATCTATAATTTTATAATTTTAAAAATCTACAAATATTATTGAAATAAAAAAAAGAAAAATTTTTTTTATTAAATTATAATTAAAAAAACACTGTTTAGGGGAAATATAATTTAAATTATGATAAAATGATTGATACTAAAAGATTCATTTAGAAACAATCGGTTTATTTTTTTAATGTTATTTTAATAAAGGATAACTTTTTTTGGTCTATTTTGTTCAACTTTAAAGTATTTTTCATTATCCATTGAATAATAAATATATAGGGTTCTTCCATCGAGCTGGTGGAAATGAGCAGATAGAATATCAAATTGGCCAATTGTTTCCATCAATCCTAAACTTTTTGGTTTATTTATCATAAATCTAATTGGTTTGGCGTTAGTTGGGAAAGAACACCATTTATAGTCGAATTTGACATTAGCATCACCTTTTGCATCAATACCTTTAGATTCTCCTGCCCATAAATCTTTTTTATTATTATTAATAATTTCATTTTAATTAAAAAACATAATTTTATTTTATACCTACCAACATTACCATCACCAGTATTTTGAATTTCTATTTGTCTATTCCATGCTTTTTTTTGAACCACTATAGAGAAAATAAAAAAATTAATTTAAATAAAAAATAAAAAATATAAATTAATTTAAAACTTACCAAAACAAACTATAAAACCCCCTTTTTTTTCTTTTTCATTTACTAAATAAAATGATACATCATTCATTGATTGAACATCATTATTTTGTGGTTGTGTAAATATTTTAGATTTATTTATAAATAATTCCATTTCCATTTTATTTTATTTGTATTTATTACAGTAGTTACTATTATATGTGTGATTAATTTTTTTTAAAAAAGCTTTATAAACAAATTAAAAAATAAAATTGAGAAAAAAAAAAATATTTCTTGTGTCGATTTTTAGCAGTAAATGGTTCCTTTTTTTATCTTAATGCTGTCTTTATATTTTATTTAAAAAAAAAAAAAAGAAATCCTTTCAAACCTATTTCAATCATAACCAAGTGTTGTGTGCACAATGTGGGGAGGTGAAGTGGTAAATGGTTATGAGTGGGGAAAAAAATTTAAAATTTTTAAATTTAAAAATAGTTGACAGAGTGATTGACATGCGTTAAGTGGTGTGAATGGGGAAAAGTCGAAAAGTCTATAAAAAATTCTTAAATTTTAAAAAAAAAAAAAAAAAAAATATCATCGCCTTCACCATTCACAAATCAAACTTTAAAAGAATTTAAATTATAAATAATATCAAAAAAAAATTTTAACAATTTTTTTTTTTTATTAAAAATTGGTATATAATATATTTTATTCAAAGATATAATATATGTTATTATTAGTTGGTTATATATTTGAATAAAATTTACTTAAAAAAAAAAATAAAAAAATAAAAAAAACCATTGGAATATCCTTGCAAATATTAATTGTAAGTTTTTTCATTTTATTTTAATTAATTTTTGAAAGTTTTTGATTTAACACCACATGTGGTACCTGTACAATTTTTTTTAAATAATAAATTTTTTTTGAATAATAAATTTTTTTTAAATAATTTTTTTATTACTTTTAATTCAATGAATTTTTTTAAAATAAATTTAGATTTTTGACTTGACATTTTGAGTTTAAATAAATAATAAATAAAAAACCAACCAAATTATTATTTTTAATTTTTTTTTTAAAAACCAATTTGTTTATTTCTGTCAAAATTTAAACCAAAAAAAAAAAAAAAAAAAAAAAAAAAAAAAAAAAAAAAAAGGTTTTTTATTTTTTTATTTTAAAAAATTTTTTTCCATTTTTATTATTTTAGTTTTTAATAAAAATAACGATATAGTTATATTAATTTATTTGAAAAAACTCTAATTTCTTAAACAACTTTTTGTCTTATAATATTTTCAAATAAAGCTAGATTTTTTTTTTAAATAAAGATATCACAAAAAAAAAAAAAGGTAATTAAAATGAAAAAAAAATGAAAAAAAAGAAAATTTTAAATAAAAAAAATAGAAAAAAATATTAATCATTTTATTAAATTAAATTTATTTATTTACTTTTATTTAGATGGGGAAAAAACTATAAATTCTAGAATATTTAGTAAAAGATTTCATTCATTCAAATTAAATGTTTATTAAAAACAATAATAATAATAGCAATAATAAAAATAGTGTTATAAAATTAAATTTATGTAATAATAAAATAATAAAATAAAATGAAGGTACTTTATCTATTAGTTATTCTATATCTAACTTGTATTTCCCAAGTATCTCTTGCTGCCAATGACTACTGTGAAGCTTTAAAATACTCTTTATTATTTTACAAAGCCCAAAGAGCTGGTAGACTCCCCGATACAGATATTCCCTGGAGAGGTAATAGTGTACTAGGTGATACTTATAACAACCAAGTAGATAGCAATGGTGACGGTATTTTATCAAAAGGTTATTTTGATGCTGGTGATGGTGTAAAAGTAAGTATAAATTTAATTTTTAAAAAAGAAAATAAAATAAAGATAGAAAAACTAATAATATATTTTTTTAAAATAGTTTGGTTTTCCAATGGCCTATACCATGACAATGTTAAGTTGGGTTTATATTCAATATGAATCCAACATTGCCAATTGTGGTTTAGATACACTCTATAAAGATGTATTAAAGTGGGGTTCAGATTATACAATGGCTGCGCATGTCGCCGATGATGTTTTTGTTGGCCAAGTTGCAGATGCCAATATAGATCATTCTTATTGGATTCCACCCGAAAATATTACTGGTACTTATACTCGTACAGTTTATACAATTGATTCTAGCAATCCAGGTACTGATCTTGCTATGGAGGCTGCTGCATCCCTTACTGCTACTTCGATAGCCCTCAAATCAACTGATAGTTCTTATGCCAGTGAATGCCTAAACCATGCCAAAACACTCTATGACTTTGCAATGAACAGTGATAAGAAACTTTATTCCGATTCAATTACTGCTGCTGCTGGATTTTATACCTCTGGTGGTTATAATGATGAAATTGCTTGGGCTTCTGCTTGGTTATATAAAGCCACTGGTGATGAAATTTATCATACCAATGCCGCCACCTACTATGCAAACAACGATGTTCAATATGCTAATCAATTGAGCTGGGATCAAAAGGGCGTTGCTACCGGCATGTTGCTTTATCAACTCGATGGTGACTCTACTTATAAAACAAATGTCGAAAGTGCACTAAAATATTGGGAAAAAGGTGGTGGTATTACCTATACTCCAAATGGCTTAGCTTATTTAAGTGAATGGGGTCCATGTAGATACACCATGAATATGGCCTTAATTGCGTCAATGTATGGAGGTGACTATTTAAGCTTTGCAGAATCTCAACTAAACTATGTCATGGGTAACAATGCAAACTCATATTCATTTGTTGTTGGTTGGGGTACAAACTATCCAAAGAATCCACATCATAGAGCCGCTCATCACTCAACTACCAATGATATCAATAATCCAACCGTAAACAAATATGTTATTTATGGTAGTTTGGTAGGTGGTCCAGCTTCTGACGATAGTTATAAAGATGATAGAACTGACTATACTCAAAGTGAAGTTGCTTTAGACTACAATGTTGGTCTTGTTGGTACACTGGCTGCTTTTTCCTCTGATAGCTCTCCAGCCTCTACTACCAATCCATTTGGTGGAAGTATTGATACTAGCTCAACAACTAGCGCACCAACATCAAATAGTGACTCTACAACTTCTGCCAGTTCAGAAAAAGCAACAGAAACACCAACTACTACTCCAAGCACTGATGCTAGTTCAGAATCAGTTACAGAAACACCAACCGCTACTAGTTCAAGTAGTGATACTTCAACCGCTACTGGCTCAAGCAGCGATATCCCAATCACTTCATCTCCCAGTATCGAATCTTTGTCTTCTAGTTCAGAAACACCTACCAGCCCAAACAATAATCCATCAACCATTGATTCAGGCTCAAACTCTAATTCAAAAGCACCAAGTACAGATTCAGATTCTAGCACAAAAATTATCAACACAGATTCAAATTCAGAAGCTCCAACTATTGACTCAAACTCAAGCTCCAATTCCTCCAATACCAATAATAGCACCTCAAGCTCTGGTTCAGGTGCATCAAACTCTACAACAGCTTCAAATGAACCCGATTCAACTGAAAATAGCTCTAACCTCACCTCCAACTCTGATGCATCTGGTAGTAATGCTTTAAATCCTACAACTAATAGCAGTTCTAACTCTACAAACACCCATTCTGAATCTAGTATCGAGCCTGCAAATACAAATACTAAAAACGAAACAGAAAGGGAAGGTAGTGATTCAAGCTCGATTAAAGCCTCTCTTTTTCCCCTTTCATTATTTATAATTTATATTTTATTATAATTTAATAAAATATTTATTTTAAATAACTAAAAAAAAAAATAAAAAATTGAAAATAAAAAAAAAAAAAAGAATTTTAAAGATAAATAAGTTTTTATTTTTTTTTTACTTTGTTAAGTTTTGGTCGAATCCATAAATTTACAATTTAATAATATTTTCTTTTTTTAAAAAAATTTTAACAATTAAAGTATGGTCTTGAAAAACAATTTGAAGCAACTATTTTTGATGATTTAGTGGTACAAATTGTGTTTAAAGTGGTTTCATTATTGTTATTATTATTTAAAGAAACAATATTTGATGATAATTTGTTGTTTTTGTTTAATGAAATTATTGATTCTATAAAAAAAAAAAAATTAATATTTATTTTAATGGAATGGGGTTATTATTTTTAATTTAAAAAATACATACTAAATAACATTTTTATATATTTTATATTTAATTTATAGTTTTTAAATTATTAAATAATTGTTTTTGATGGTTAAAAAAAAAATTTAGTTTCTATTTATATTTTTCTTTTTTTTTTTTTTTAATTTTATTAAAAAAATTTTAATAACTAAACACCATCTAAAAGATTAAACAAATTTAATTTTTATTTTTAAAAAGACATTATTTTTTTAGATATTTAAAAAACCACTCTTTTTGATATAAATGTATAATTTTTTGAGAATGATGTTTTTAAATTTTGTAATTTGTATATGTTGTGATACATTACTTACTGTTTTTTATTCTATAATTAATGATTTCAACAATGATACAGATGATTTTTGATATTATACTATTTGCCATGTAAATAAAAATGGTAAAAGAGTATTATAATTTTAAAAATTTCTTAATGTTATCATAAATTTTTTTAAATTAACAAGGAAAAATATGATTGTATTATTATTTTACATATTTTTTTTTTTTATTTAAAGAATAATAATTTGATGGTGTATGAAAATAATAAAATAATAAAAAATAAAAAAAAAATAAAAAAAAAATAAAAAAAAAAAAAAAAAAATAAACGAAACTGTAAATATACTAATTGTTAAAGTATTTAATAAATTACATAATCATGTCATTGAAACTAAACTATTTATAAATTAAACGTTTTGATTCCTATTAAATATAAAATGTTTTTTATTAATTTTAAAAAGGAAAGAATAAAATAAACAATTTTGTACGAAACTAAAATTATTTTAATCTTCTTCCTCATTACATCATTTATCTTATTTTGATTGGGAAAATAAAAATAATAGTAATAAAATGACAGTGGGTGCAATAAAAAATAATAAAACAAGTTGGGCAAGGTAATGTCAATTCGTGTGTGATTCTGAAAACCTGGGTTTTTTTTTTTTTTTTTTTTTTTTTTTTTTTTTTTAAAAGTGAAGATAATAAAAAGCAATGCTTTTAATTAATCAGTAAAATTTTATTTAATGTTTTTTATAAAGTATTTAAAGAAAATATTCTAAACTGTTGATATTTGGTAAAGATTTGATGCTGATGAAGTATGCTCTTGCTATTTTTCTTTTGAATTTTCTATATTCTTCATTGATGTTGCTAATTGTTTGTGGTTGTTTAGCGTGTCTTTCCTTGATGTTTTTTAAACCTTTTAAGTATTCTAAAGTAGCTAGTTTAGTCCATTTTGAGGTTAGATTCTTATAATCGAGTTCTTTTATTGTATTTTCTTGATCGTCATATAATTCTTTACATAACCAAATCCAAACATGATGAAATACCAGGGCTATGGCATTTCTATAAGCGAAACATCTAGTTAAGTCGAAATCTATTGCTTTATAGTTCCATTGGAAGTGTGATTTGTGGAATCTGGTGTTGTTGTAATCCATATTTATTTCTCCATCGGATTTGCGACCTTCTGGGATTTTGTATGAAACCTGGGAGAGGAAACTTGGGGGTCAAGATGAGCGTTTGGCTCCCCCAATTCTTCCCAGAGATTTTTTATTCGAAAAAAAAAAAAATGATGGTTCTACTGAGACTCGAACTCAGATTACGGGATTCAAAGTCCCGGGTGCTAACCAATTACACTATAAAACCGCTTATGAAAATTTTTTTCTAACTCATATCCATGGCCCGAAATCCACGTTTTTAGCTAAAATTCCAATTCTTTCTTTTTCAGAATCAACACATTTTAAGTCACAAATCAAACATGGGGCTTTTTTCTATTCTTCGTAACAATAGATTTTAAATTGGTCTATTTTCAAATGATTCATAAACCGCCAACACCCACACCAATATAATCAATCAAAATATTTCATAAAAAAAAATCAAACTATTTATATATTAAATATAAATAAATTTATTAGAAATAAATTTTGACGGTATTACTAGAGTCCTCAAAGGTAGATAATATGTAATAGATTTTTGAAAAATTAGGTAATGAGGCACTAGTAGTATTTGATTGTGGATTATTTAAAATGTATGAATACTTTTGTGGCTGTTGTTTTAAAAAATTATTAATTGGTAAATTTTGTTTAATATGATTGGTCAAAGCTAGACTCTAAAATCAATACAGTTATTTTTATAAGTTCATTTCTGACTCGAGGGAATAATAAAAATATCCTTATAGATACCAATAACGCAATCATTTTAAGCGCATTAATATGTTCAAAACCAAAATATTTTATTTTTATACATAAAAAAAAACAAAAAAACATTAAAATAATTTTTTTAGTTTGTATTTTATATTTTTTAAAAGGATAAAATCGACAGTTAAAAAATATTTATAAATATATGTTTTGTTTTATTAAAAAAATTGTTTTGGTTGTTGTTATATAATACATGAAATAAATAATTTAGAAACATTTTCTGTGGACAATTGATGGACCTGATTCGTCATATTCTTCTTTTGAAATCCACATTTGTTGGAAAGTTGAAAGTGAGGCTAAAATTGAACCACCAATCCAGACAGAGTATTTACGTTCTGGTGGAGCAATGATTTTAATTTTCATGGTTGATGGGGCTAAAGCAGTTAATTCTTTGTTCATACGATCAGCAATACCTGGGAACATAGTTGTACCACCTGATAAGACGACATTACCGTATAAATCTTTACGAATATCAACATCACATTTCATGATTGAGTTGTAAGTGGTTTCGTGGATACCAGCTGATTCCATACCTAAGAATGATGGTTGGAATAAGGCTTCTGGGCAACGGAAACGTTCGTTACCGATGGTGATGACTTGACCATCTGGTAATTCGTATGATTTTTCTAAAGCGGATGATGAGGCAGCAGTTTGCATTTCAGCTTCGAAGTCTAAAGCGACGTAGGCTAATTTTTCTTTGATATCTCTGACGATTTCTCTTTCAGCAGTGGTGGTGAATGAGTAACCACGTTCAGTTAAGATTTTCATCATATAATCGGTTAAATCACGACCAGCTAAATCTAAACGTAAGATGGCGTGTGGTAAGGCATAACCTTCATAGATTGGAACAGTGTGGGAAACACCATCACCTGAATCCATAACAATACCGGTGGTACGACCTGAGGCATATAATGATAAGACGGCTTGAATGGCAACGTACATGGCTGGGGTGTTGAAGGTTTCGAACATAATTTGAGTCATTTTTTCTCTGTTAGCTTTTGGATTTAATGGGGCTTCAGTTAATAAAACTGGGTGTTCTTCTGGGGCAACACGTAATTCATTGTAGAAAGTATGATGCCAGATTTTTTCCATATCATCCCAGTTGGTAACAATACCGTGTTCAATTGGGTATTTGAGGGTTAAGATACCTCTCTTTGATTGGGCTTCATCACCAACATATGAATCTTTTTGACCCATACCGACCATAACACCAGTGTGTCTTGGACGACCAACAATTGATGGGAAAACAGCTCTTGGGGCATCATCACCAGCGAAACCGGCTTTGCACATACCTGAACCGTTATCAATAACTATAATATTTTAAATTAATTAATATTAATAATTTATTTAATTTTTTAAAATTTTTAAATTATCTCAGTTTTTTTTTTTTGATTTTTTTAAAAAAAAAAAAAATAAAGAAAAATAAAAAAAAGAAATAATGAAAATATTTACCTAAAGCTTGAACATCTTCTCCTTCCATTTTATTTATATTTATATATGTATTTATTTATTTAATTTGAAATAATAAAAAAAAAATTTTGAATTTATATGAAAAATTTAAATAAAAAATAAAAAATAAAAAATAAAAAATAAAAAAAATTAAAATTTAAAAAACCCATTCGCACCCATCCCAAACCAAATGATCTTTTTTTATTCATATTTTCAAACAAAATGATAATAATTTGTTTTTTATAAAAAAAATTTTATGCCAATAAAATAATAATAATTTTACTCTTATATTCTGGTTAAATTATAAATTTTTATTAGATTTAATTACAATTATTTTATCTACAAAAAAAAAAAAAAGAAAAATACTTATAATTTTTTATTAAATTTTAAAGAAATAACCAAAATATAGTCGTT